TATTAGATTAATCGTTACTATACGTAAATAGACAATATTATTCCTTCATGACTATTACTGCAGATGACACAGTAACAGCTAGTAGTTGACTACTGAACTGATAGCATTCCAATGACTGTAGCACTACATGCCCAAGTTTCCGTCTGTTAATCACCGAAATCATTTGGTTTGTTAACGGTGTTTCCATCGTCGGAAATTTATTCAGGGATATAAATTGATACACAAGTTTTTTTGGTGTCGGCGTCGCTGGCGATGCACTAATAGAATTCAATTCAGTTAGCACATCGTCGGAAATTCACCAAGAATTTGCCTTGATTGTTTCCAGGGGTAACCTCGTGGAGGTCAACCTGACATGGTGTGTTGCTAGCAATGGCATCAACAGTCGATATTAATTACTGACAAATCCCTTCCGCCCTTCATGACTCGGCTACTAAACGACTATGTTAGGACCGTTTCTGATATGTTTACATATTTAGTTAATATTTATTTGAGTAAATTCAGGGTAAATAACAATTATATTTTATGTATATACGTATAGTAGCAGCGTACTTAAATAACAATGACATAACCTTACTTAATTGACAATTAACTTAATTACTTAAACGAAGTTCAACTTAAGTACAATATTTATTTTATACACTTCCACTGCATCAGATGTTTTTTTATACTTAACAATTGTCATGTTTACACAAGCTAGTGATTTAGTTTATTTTTTAAGTAAAAAACTACAATGTATAAGAAAGACGGGAACGCTGTGTCAGACCTTGTTTTTTAGTTTTACTTCCTACGGAGTTACAACAAAGGAACAGAGTAACTAGAAAATTGTTCGCCCCTCTCATTTTACTTTCTAGTTCTATTGTAGTGACAAAACCAGGAATTTTCAAGTGGAATTGTAAGAGGATCAGGGTTGCCAATTGTACGAGTATCATCAAATTTCCACAGATCAAAATGTGGTACCAATGATACGTATCCGATTATTAAAATTCCGATAGTACAAAATCTGGTACCAATATGTTTCACATTATCAAAATTCAGATAGTACAAAACCTGGTACCAGTAGGTATCAGATTTTCAAAATTCTGATAGTACAAAATCTGGTACCATTAAGCACCGGATTTTCAAAATTCAGATAGTATAAAATTTGATACTAATAGGTACCAGATTTTGACCTGTGGTTTGAAAAAGAAAAAAAGCATTTATTACTTTACTTATACAAGAAATGACAATAATTGAATTTTATTCAAATTACTTCAACCGTTTTTACAACAAGCAGACAAATTTAGAAAGTAAGCTACTCGCCGACAGTAATATGCGAGACGACTATGTAAAGTCTATCTCGGTACAAGAAAAATAATATTAGCAACCCTCAATAGGATATACGTTTCAACAAGCTTGCTTATTCTCCGCCAAAGTGACTGTTACATTGTCTTTGCAAGGTTTTATACAAAATAGCGCAGGCGAAATGAACAACGACTGAAATAAGTTACTTTAACTTATTTAGATTTATGTAATAGTTGACTAAACTTTTGACAGTGAATTAGAATATTTATTATTAAATTAGTGTTCATTAGCTGAATATCTTCAATGTCCAGGACTTGTCATTTAGTAGAAAGTTGGGGGCTGAAGAATGAATTTTATGAACATTTATTTTGGAATCAAATTAGATAAATCTAGAACGACATTCTTCAATATGTTTTATTTAAAACAAGTGTAGCATCAACATTTTTTTTATAAAAATCTGTGTTTTTTGTGTATTAATCTAGAGGACAGGTCAATTACTCATGAAACTGAAATTCTAATAAACAAAATCCTGGTTACATTAAGTTCCATTTTATAAATATTATAATTAGTTAAGTAAGTTAAGAAAGTTTATGGATCTTATGACTATAGGAATTATCAAAGAAACTACGCACTACAAAGTATATTATATTAATATAAAAATATCGAATATATATATATAAAATGTACCTGTTGAGTTTCTTGTCAGTTATACTCAAATGAAATAGCTAGCCGAACTGGACGGTAAGGAGATTGATAAAAATTAAGACGTAGAGATGACCGAAAGTAGTTGTATGTTAATAAATAATTTTGAGGTTGAGTCCTGAAAATAATATTTAACACCAGAATATTTAACAGAAAATTCATTAGAAAAAAAGAATGAGAATGAAGGCCGAACACTAAAAATATGTAAAATTCCACAGTAAATTAAATTTTAATGTTAGCAATAAAATAAGATTCTTAAAGAGACACGACATTGAGATTCTTGTAAATAAAATGAATTCCATCGTCGTAATTGTTGTATAAAAATTTTCAGCTTTTAAGTTATAATTTTTAATAGCGATAAATGACGGCCTTTTTAGTTTCACGGTTTAGCACACCTCTAGTATCTGATGGTGGCAGGTTCGTTTCCTCGCATGGTGCAAACATTTGTATTCATGTGTCTGATTGTTTATATCTGATATGGGTATTTACTATATATATGTATATATAAAAAAAGTATCTAAGTAACTAAGTAAAAAATATGGCAGAAACGGTGAAAGAGAGCCAAAACCGCGCGGGTCTTCTAGTGTATTAGTGTTATGTGTACATATGTGTACACACCTGATAGATGTTATCAGGTGTCTGGTACACATTTTGCCACATTTTTCTTTGAAGCTCATCTCCTATTGGTCGTAATGAGATATTATATAGCCTCTTACCTTCTTCAATAAATAGGTTTTTTAATACTGAGAGAATTTTCATAATGGGTTCAGTAGATACACAGATTACCTCCTACAACCTCATAAACATAGTGGAAGTGCGTATAGAACCTTATATATGTATATAGCAAATGTATTGTAAAATTACATTTCCAAATGGAAAATAAAATCACGCAGCCTAATGAATCCGCTTACTGTATTATAGATATTTCATTTAACGTAAATTCCCTCGTTAGACATTGCTCTTTACACCTAATTCCTTTCAGTAATGTAGACACGTCGGCCAGCATTTTCAACATTTATAATAACAATTTTCTCTTTCTGAGAAACTCTTTCATTAAGAGGTTAATTAAAAGAACAGTGGTACAAGTAATAAAAGAAATGTGTATTAACTATAAAATATACCTTTTCTGTCTGAATACATAATAGATGTAATACTGAAATTTAGTTTTTCTTTCATTGTCACATGAAACTTATTTTTGTTAATATTCTAGATGGCTCAGTCAGAGGTAATATCGAGGACCTGATGAATGAAGTTTTTCTTTCATTAACATCGACCATTGATAATGTATCTTATTGAAAACATTGCATAACACTCGTGAAAATGTATAAATATTAATATTACCTCCCCTTGGAAAGACATCGTGATAAATTCCTGATGAATTTTCCACAATGGGCTAAATGACCTGACATCATTCTCATCTTATCCTCGACTGGTGCCCCACTAGCGTAAATCGTGAGAGTAGACAGGTGCAACATTCCATTGTCATCAATTAAAAAAACAAAAATTCGGTTCGATTGATTGTATGTATATACATAGATAGCTAATTATTAGGATGATTAATTGTTAAATTTAATCAATAAAGAGTAGACGATCACCATAACCAATTTTGTTGGCAGTCGATTGAAAATATACAATATTTCGGGCTCTTTATTTCAGTTGAGGAAATAATCCTCGACTTCACCATAAGTACATAGAGTTCGTCATTGTTTGCGAGCGACAAATATTTACCGCCTTCTAGAGGGCGAGGAATAGCTGTAGAAAGAATTTTTTCATTGCCCTATTCAATATCGGGAATTCGGTTGGTAACTTATTGTGTTTCGGTGTAATTCCCAGGCATTATTAAGGGAACAAAGTAGGCACTCCTGTAACTGAAGGACTTATCGAAACACAAGCGTACAACGCAGGTTTGTATATAACATTCTGTACAGAGGGATTAACTTAATCCTTATGAATGGCAAAGCAAAAGTAACAATACTGTCTACGCCCAAATAAAGAACGATACTGTTACCAACACTATTGGAGTTATCTCTCTGCGCAACTCTCTAATATCGTGAGTGCTCTGTAACTTAAAACTAGTTAAAATACTTAGAAATTGTAAACTTTCTATTTTTCTATAAAGAATAAAATATTTAAACACTGGCGTTATATGTGACAGATAGTTTTATAAATAGTATAGGTAACCACTGCTCTTATGGCCAGAGGAAGGCCCGAAAAAGAGATGGTTGGACTGTGTGAATGTTGATATGGTAAGAAAGGATGAGATGACTACGAACAGGGATTAAAGGAAGAGAAAATCATATTACGCCGACCTAAAATAAAAGTCAAGTTCAACTTCATTTATACGTCATTTCTTTTACATAAATATATAAAACCTACTTATATGTATATAAATATATATACGACTGTACTGTAAATTAGCTGAAAGGTATATTAGGAAACATAAAAACACAGGGAAAAAAATAGGTACTGCCTATTGAAAAAGAAAATTTGAAATTTCGGCATCTACCTGCCATCTAGATGTCAGATTTAAAAATACGCCCTAAGATAGCTAACATAAGTACCGTACTGGCGATACTAGTATTAACACCTTCATGAATGAATGAGAACTACTGCCCGATGGAGGTGTATAGGCGGTACCGAGGCAGATTGCCGTCGTCAATGCCGTGACCACAGACAACTAACATTTATATTATTACTGCCTACCGGTGCCCACTGTTACCCACGTTAAATTTCAAGATATAAATTTCAATACAAAATATAACCTATATGTTATTCTCATGCATAAGTTATATTACCATAAAGTTTTATCAAAATCTGTCCAGTAGTTTTTGCGTGAAAGAGTAACAAACATCCACACAACTTTCGCGTTTATAATATTATTAAGATTAAGATTACATACGTATGTTAGTCTATAAGCTTTTTTTAATATGAGTCATTAGTAGCATGAAATAAATTACTTCATTAAAAAATTTTGATATATGTTTTTCCCTACTAAAAATGTTTTTGATTGTCCGCAGATATAAGTCAAAGTCAACTGCTATGCCGGGGTTTGTCCGCGCACAAGGTATGCGGGCTTCGTGCGCACGCGCCCCGGATTTCCTTTACAAGTAAAGATGACCCGGAACCACATGAACTCCGGCGGAAGTCTGCCAGCAGCCGCCTGGGAAGCTCGCCTCGATCCAGCATAGCGAGCGAAGAACGAGCTGATGGAGTTGCGCTGAGGTAATTTTGTATAAAAGTAAATTTAGAAATCTAGAATACGCGCTTAAGTTGGTCTGTATTACACTTACTTGACATTTATTCATTATTTCGTGCTATTCTTAAGCATAAGTTACATTACATCAAAATCCGCGCAGTAGTTTTTACGTGAAAACATCCATCCATCCATCCATACTCACAAACTTTCGCGTTTATAATATGTATTAGCAAGATACAAATAAACAAAGTGTCCGTAATTTCAAATTAACAGCTTACAAATAAAAATATTTTTGTTTTGTCTTTGTTTGCTTGTTTTTGCTAATCTATGAGACATGTACACAAGCTGCTAATCTTGAGACTAAATTAAAAGATAGGGCAATTTTCATAATCACTTACTCAGTATCAATATTTATTTTTATACTTTGAATAATAAGGATTAAGTAAATATTTACCGGGTCAGCTGCTAAGTATAAGTAGCTTTGAATGTAGTAGCATTTAATATTGCTACGGTTGTTACGACCCGAATATCCAAATCTAATTTCCGTGACATCATAACAAGCGTAGCTGTGTAACTGTCTGTCAAGGAAATTAGATCTCCACCGGACGGGCAGGTAGGTTTAAGTCATCCCAGTATATTGACGGGTCATTGATATTTCGTACTGTTACCTTTATTGTTTAAAATTTTAGATTACTTGCGGAAAAAATAGCGTTGTGGCTTTCCGGTTTACTACCACAAGTTGCATACTAAAGGACGTGAGTTGAAATCTTGAAGAAATTAATATAAAAACTTTTTTTTTCATAACTCTGAATGTCTGGTGAAGGAAACACCGATAACAAAAATTTATTCGGAAGGCGACTGTAGGTTCCCTGATACTTTGGATTAATAATACAATAAAATAGCTTGTATCGATCTGGCTGTGTTCTATGTATAATAATACATGCATAGTATTAATGAAAAAAATATAGTACCCATAATACATGCTTTAGTTAGCTTAATTTGGCGCTGTGTGAATTGTCCTGAGATTATTATAAAAAAATGCATACAATAAATAATTAAACCTTTGTTATATTTATGGCCATTAACTTTTAACTAAGGGAGCAACCCTTAGTTAAAAGTTTTGTATTATAGCAACATTGAGTATTTCTATGCTTGTTAGGGGCATTCGTAGTCCAGTAGTTCAGTTACTTCTCGTCGGCACTTGATCTCGACTGCGCGGCAACTGAGTCAAGTGCGATCTTGGGTTGATGACATGGCAAGTATGCCATTATATTTGAACGTACAAAGGTTGTAAAGCTACATAAAATGTATTTTAATTTTATTATACAAGAAAATCTTAAATAAATTTACTCCGGTATAAATTTAAAATATAACGCATTAAGGCATGGCACCTTATTTCTCAGGTAAGGCATGAAATGATGAAGTGATTGCAGTAGTGCTTCTCATATCCATACAGTAGGGTTCATTTTCTATTAAAGGTACAGTTATTTTGTTTGTAAATAAAAAAAAACAAAGCGGGGTAATATTAGGATTAAAATCCTTACCTAAAGTTGCCTTATAAAAATAGGCATAAAGTAAACCAAACTCGGTTATACATATATAAATAGGTAATAGAATATTTTTAAAAATTCCGTTATAATATTTATAACCTCCTTGGTCTAGGGGATTGACACATTACTTTAATGCGATGGTCTACTAGTTTAATAATATTATATATAGATATAAATCTATTAATTTTGTATTACCATCCAAAAATACTAAAAATGCTACGCTTAAAACCTCCTTTCACATATATAAGAAAAAAAATGTATTATTGGGAGACCACATTAAAGTAATTGAATCCAAAATAATAATAATGTATTGGTAATTTTATCTGTTTGTCTAAGAAAAGTCTTAACCGATTTACGTACAGTTTTCATTTGGTAAGGCTTACTTAAAATTTTGTATATGCTTTATCCCAATAGAATAGAATTCTATTGAGTAGACTTAACACAATAATAATGTCATAAAACAAGAAGCAATAATTTAAGCACATTACAAAACAGAGTCAATGTGGACCACAACTCAGTTTAATCCAGCATTACAATATAGTTTCCAGCGCTGGTTTTCAGCGTAGCAATTACAATATACATATAAATAAGAAATATGTACGATGTCGCGGATTCAGCTAGTGAGTAAAAAAGTCGTAACGTAAAAGTATATTATATGATACACAATGTGTCGTAAAGCAAATTAAGTGTCGCATTAGAAAAGCTCATAAAATCTTGTTATTTGTACAAAGCTTTAATACACATAAAAGAGTCACTTTCGACTTAGCGTATGTATCTTTCAGAGCTTTAGGTACAATGATACGAAATTTCATTATAAACAAACATACTCTCGAAACCAATATCGATCGATCGACATTGGAATGTGACCACACCTTTTCGTATTGAATTTGTTCGCTAGCAGTGTATTAGTTCCATATTTCGCGGTCATTGAATGAATCCTACAATGTCGCCGATTTATCCTGTTTACACTTGACCGCCTTTGAAAAGAACGATACAAATGTGGATTGCGTTGAAATTGATATTGTAGTTTAGGATTGATCCTGAAGATCAAATCTACATGTATTTAGGTAATTTCACAATTTAAGAAATAAAATTAATAGATTAGATTTAAAAAAAATGTTCTCAAGCTGTGCTGATGTTCTCAAATGTTGTCAATTGCTACCGTTGATATAAACTCGACTATAGTTAAATCCACATTTTATTTAATTGCTTTATAAAATGTAAATAATAATTGACTTTCTTTGTTATGTAAGTCATAAGCTCTACCATCATCATCTGCTTCTTCCTTATCCCATTTATTTGGGGTCGGCGTAATATGTTTTTCGCTTCCATCCATCCCTGTTCGCAGTCATCGCGTTATTTACTTCCTTTCTTACCATATAATCTTTCACACAGTCCATCCATCTCTTTTTCGGCCTTACTCTGCCCTTATAACCATCCACATTCATATGTAACACCTTTCTTAAAATATTATCCTCGTTGCTACGCATTACATGTCCATACCATGATAGACGATTACTCTTCAACCTCTCAAGTCATAAGCTCTACCACCACTAGTAAAATATTTTATATACATATTTTATTTACATTTAGCCTTGTATTTTTTATGTTATTGAAATGCCAAACAAATAGTAAGTAGTAAACATCTCCTATATTTTGAACAGCACTACGGATATCACGTTTTCCTGTGACATTGGCGACCACTCATGCGTTGGGATGGGAGGGATTATTACTAATTTGGACTAATAACCCCATAGCATGTCAGGTTGGTCTCTACGTGGTTCTCCCTGGACACCATCGTGGTAAATTGACATTTGCCAAGATGGGCTAACTGACTTGACTTCATGGTCGTTTTATCATCCCCCGCCACCGTAAACTGTTAGCGCAGGCGGATGCATCATTCCATTATCATTCATAAAAAAACCACCACTCATGCATTACCAGGTGACTGAGAGATGTTACGCTACCTAGTACATCTAGTATATTATTCCTTCCCAATAATTTATTAATGAACTGAGATAAATTCTAATTAATTCAGTTTTGTTTCTTACTGTGTTTGCTTTAGGGGCCAAAATTGTGTAATACAGACATAAATCCTATCTGTCCGCAAACTAATTCCATTTTATTGCATTAGATAGTTCAAACAGACGAATAGACGGGAGTTAACGACAGATTTCTATCGGACACGATGAAATCCTGCTTGTTTGTACCCAAGGCAGTATTGATTTTAGGTTGAACTTTCAACCAACTGCTAAAAGGCGGATTTTAATTCCAGGGGACTAAAGGGAACGGATTTGAGTTATTCTTTTTGTTGTCTATGGGATTTATTCTTTATTAGCTGTGCCCGTGGTTTCATCCGCATGAAATTTATAGCCTGTATATTATTCTGATGTATAAGGTGCATTATTGTAGAGTTTTATCAAAATCCGTTCAGTAAAATCTACTGAACAGATTTTGATGAACAAGATTGCGTGAAAGAGCAACAAACATTCATCCATATTCACAAACTTTCGCGTTTATAATATTAATAAGATATCATACATTTTTTAAAAGTTATCAACTAATCATGATGAGGAATATTTAGGTTTTTAATTTAATGCTGCAACATTAAACTAAAATGGAAGATATTATTTTAACAAAAAAAAATAGGTTTATTTCACGCGGACTAAGTCGCGGGTAATAGCTAGTATGAACTGAAATCAAAAGTAATATATTTTTGTTTATTTCAATTTTTTTTGTGAAACAGTAATGTTGAACAAGGTGAAGGCCCACCTGATGGTAAGTGGTAACCGTCGTTGATATGCATGGACAGAACCATACAGATATAATGTCGTCATATTATTATGATAGCCGTTGAGTGGAGTTCTGTGTTGCCATATCAGAGAATAAGGTGTTTTATCTCTATACCTTATAATTTCACTGCACATGTCACCTTCAACCAAAACACAGCTTTAAAATGTAGCTGCTTAATGGTTGATATAGGGGAGACAGAAGTGCATACGAGTACATAGATATGATTTTTTTATAAATTGTATCTTAAAAATTTGTCACAGATGTTAAAAATACTAGAGATACGTTAACAAAATACAAATATATATACGTAACGCTTAGACGAAATTAAATAATCATATTAATCGTACAAAGAATCGAATCTGTGACCACCAAAAATAAGGTAGTGTACTAAACTGCTAGAGCATCGCTATATTGTAATAAAAAACTTTAAATAGTCCAAACTCGATTTTGTATTCTTTTGAACGCGCGTAGTTTTCAATATACGATGGAAAACGAAATGTTAAACATCAAAGGGTGTTACGGCTACAAATTGCGCTGTTATTTGAATTACGACTCAACAGAATGTGTACACACCCTAATAATTTTCAATTCGATATAATTGACGGCAACCCCATTCGAAGCTGACCTCAATTTGTGTTAATTATTCATATCTATTCATTGATCGATTCTTATTTTTCAATTGG